GGTAAATTGTTGACATGTGATTTTCCCTTTTTATATGCATCAAGTGATACCTGGAATTTGGTCATGTTGGTGAAAGCGGCATCATAAGGAGAACTGTTTAGTGACAAATTAACAATTTTAAACTATATTGGATAGAAAATGGTGGTTTTCTCGTTTTTTATTTCAAGTAAATCTAAAGGATAAAAGTACATCTAGCTAGATGGACTTTAATCTTGCACTTGTTCAGTGCTGACAAGTTTTTTGTATCATATATAGAAAACCTTTTATTTCTTAATGTACTGTTTTTTAATCACCTGCTCTTGCCTTGAAAAAAATGTTTTGCCTATTCAAATTCCAACATATTACTGAGTAATGAAGATGTTAATTTGTCATATATGGTGAACTTCGGTGTGTGTGTGTGTGCTATGGGACTGGCAACTATGAATTTACTAAGTAATGAAAGGAATGGAAGGGGTATCATGGCTAGAGCCTCAAGAATTTACTGCTTGTTTGTATACTGAAATTGTTTATGTATTCTGTGCAGATTTTACATATATCAGAAGTTGAAGTTCGAGAGACCAAAATGATGGGGGACACGCCCATAATTATTGTGGCTGTAAGAACATTTTTTGTTTCTCTTTTTTCTTTCTTTTCATTGTTTTGGTTCTGTGTATAATTTCTAGTAGGGGACACTGCATGAACACAAACTAATTCTCATTGCTATAATGTATTTCTGACAGTTCCAGACACAACAAGTTTACTGCATTCGTGATAAGCTCGGCTCAGTAACAGAAGGTGGTCAGGTAGAAATTGAAACTTATAGCTCTCTGTTGAGTTCTATCCATTCCCACGCCAGTGAGAAAAAGTGAAACCAAAATGAACAAAAGGAATGTTTTTTACATCTAAATGAACAACTTTTATAATAGTTATGTGTAAAACTTGTTTTTTTTTTTTTTCCTTTTGCTGCTTTCGTTTTCTTTTTTCCCAATAGTTGACAGATTTGAACTTTGATTTGGACAGGACACAATCCACACCGTGTATTATGCTTGGGCTATGCAGCAATTGGATCGAGAAGAAGTTGGAGAAGGAGCCCCTTACTCCATATGGAAGCTTAGAGAAATGCAGCAGCTTGGTGTTCGGGCCCTCATTTGATTATATTTCTTCCCCCTCAATTTTAGTCTGTGTTAAGTTATAGACTCGTCACTTTTGTCTAATCTTGTTGAGAAATTTTGCCCCGTTATCTGGCAAGTCAGATTTACACCATTCTTGGTTATGAAACTTTGATGAAGAAAGAATCAATGAATAAAAGTACATCTATCTATGTTGCATAAGCATTTGGAATCCGTTTTGTATTTTATTTATATGTACCCATATTTAGAGTTGCTCGAATAAGCACTTTCTTGATCAAATAATAGTTCATGTTGTTTTGTATTGATAAATCCAGGTGGAAGATGACTTGAGCTCACAAAGTTTTGGGCTAAATTCATAGGACCAACAAAAACGAACTGGTGTATTCGACTTACTCACTTGGACCTTTGAGCTGAAAAGGCCCTAGTTGATCTAGGTAAAAGCGAACATTTTTTATCTGTCTGTAAAGTACAAAATTGGTGACCTGAGCGAGTTTCAGCCCAGCCCAATTAACTGTATGGGTTGGCCCGGATGGGCATGCCAGGTGGCAGGTTAGTTACATCTTGAGTTGCAAGTGAACCTAATCCCATACAATTGACTAAACCATTTCAGCGAGTTGTGGTTTTGGGAAGCAGTTGACCCAAATGTTTATGTTCCTTAAGAAAATAAGATTAACAAATAAAAAAATGGAAAAAGCAAATGCTGAATTTATTAGGGTGCGAGTTTGGCGATGTCTACTACTCCCTTCATTTTGAAATATAAGGCATTTAAGGTTATTGCACAAATATTAAGGAGACATTAATTAATGAATAAATTGACTAAATTAACCTTATTTACTCTAATCACAACCACTCCACACTTCTTTAATTTCAACACAATGAGGTTATATTCGGAAAAAAATGTAAAAATTTGTCTTGATTTTTGAGCGCGCCTTATATTTCAAAAAAATTGAAAAATCTTTATATGCCTTATATTTCAAAATGGAGGGAGTACTAATTAATTATTTATTTACTTATTTGAATTACTTTCTGTTTCTTTTTTGTGTTTTCAATAATAATAATAATACTAATAATAATTACAAGGATATATAATGAATCAAGGCATGGATTTCATTTCCAACAAGTGCGATTGGACCACAAGGCCAAACATAATGATGAGTAATATTTCATCAAATTCATACTCTATGGTTATGATACGTGCATAATTTGAAGACACAAAATTTATGGACCAGGCAAAATATTGGGAGCTCAATTTACTCAAGGTAGGGGCCCTAGGAAAAGAGGGAGAGAAGGANAAAAAAAAAAAAAAAAATGGTAATAGAAAGCACATTGATTTAAAGAAGTTACAAATTAAATTAGCCATCAAGATAATTGACAAAAAGAAAGATTCTCTCTCTTGAGGGTGCGATGTCTTGGGCATTGCTATTTCCGGCGGGGCTCCGCCTTTTCGGGATGAGCAAAGGCTTTTGGTCGACGGCTAGCTGTGGTGATGTTGTGCGACGAGTGTGTTATTGGGGGTGGCCGGACTCCGTTTGCTGCAGTTTTTCTGGTTGTGGCAGTCGGGGTTGAGGGACCGAACCACCCCCACCCTCCCCTGTTTCGGCTAGTGGTGTTAGGCGGCGGGGGACCCTGGACTCGGCTAGTGGTGTTAGACGGGCCGGGTGGGTGTGGGGGCTGGTCGATTCTCTCTCGGTTGGAGATGGGTTGATTCGAGGGATTGGTTCGGGGCCCGAGTTCGGCTACTGTATAGGCATTTGTGCAGTTTCGGTAGTGTTTTCTCTGGCTTGGAATCTTCTTTCCAGAGTCGATCGTTCATCGCTGGCTGGAACCGTTCTTTTGCCGAGGAAGGGCTATTATGTTATTTTGTTATCTGCTTCTAGTGTCTTGTGTTGTCTGTGTCTGTGTTTGTGTTTGTTTTTTGTGTTTTAGGTTTGGGCCGTTGGCCCCTGTGCGCCCGGGTGTCACTTTATTACCCCGTGGGGGCCCGACACTCGGGGATTACCCTGTGAGGGTCTTTGTATTGTCTTTTGTGTTTTAGTGCTCTTGTGGTTTACCCTGTGGGGGTCATATCCCGTCTATGGGATTTCTAGGCCGCTCTATAGCGTGTCCTCCCTGTTTTCTTTTTCGGCTGTGGGTTGTGTTTGTATTAGAACTATGTTCTCTTTTGTAGTTTGATATAATATCTCTTTCGTTCCGAAAAAAAAAAAAAGAGGGTGCGATGTCTTGAGTGAGATTGATGAATTCCCTCGCTTGTAGGTAGCTCCACTTAATTTTTTGATTCGATTTCAGTTTTACTTAAGTTTAAGCCTTCTCTAATTTCTTGTTTACTAGTTTTCTCTTGGCCGGTTTATTCTTTACCTCTTGTTCTTAGTCTAGTTGGTTTCTGTTTTTGTGCAGGTGTCTCCCATCTCCCTTCTGTATTGGTCTGTATTCTGGTCCGAGTTTCTATGGATGACGACTTATCTTGTTGAGTTCGTTTCATCTATCGAAAAAAGAATCAGAGGCCATTAACCTAGATCCCGGGGATATACATATCAGTTCGGAAGAATGCCAAAGAAGTCTCTTTGGAAAGATCTTTGGAACCAAAAAAGCTCATCTGGTTGGCTTAAGAAGAACAATTGGACAAATTTGGCAAATTAGGGCGCAAATGACGGTTTGAGAAATTAGGGATAATTTCATCCAATTTATATTCTCTGATATGGCTGATAAAGATAAGGAGCTTAAAGGATCCAACTGGATATTTGAGAATCAGTATCTAATTTTATGTGAATGGAGGGAAGACATTTGAGCGATCCATTGGATTTTCCAAGAATTAGACATCTGGGTCCAAGCGTGGAACATCCCCCTTCACTGGTTTTCAACTGAAGCAGGACTCAAAATTGGCAGATCCTTCAAGCACATTAAAAATGTTCAAATACCCCATGGAGGATCACTATGAAGTAAATGTCTTAAGACTTCGGGTTACTTTAGACCTGAATTTCCCGATACCTCGCCGTGTTCACTTAAAACTGGGGAAGAAAAAGGTTCTTGTTGAATTCAAGTTTGAGAAACTTGTAAGCCTATGCTATTACTGCGGGATGTTGAGACATTTGGATAGAAATTGTGAAAAGAGAGTTGCCGATATAGAACAAGGAAGCACGACAGAAGGTCAGTTTGGCGACTGGTTAAAGGCTCAAGATCTCAACTCAGCTAGCTATCCTAGCTATACAACCTCTAACCCGATCCACTCATCCACCAACAACAACTCCAATCAAAACACGTCTCACTATACTTCTAACCCCATATCCTCTCCCACTAGTAATAGCACCAAACAAAACCCATCTCTTCACTCCATTGACAATCCTATTCCCTCCACCAACTCACCTCAACAGCCTGCTTTACAGGAAATATGCGCAGACACCCAAACCACTTCACATCAATCTCAAGCTATAATCCAACCTGAGCTCACAAACTCTCAGCACCAAATCCGAACAACTACAGCAGCCAAATCACAACCAAATTCACTTCAAGGAGATTCAATGGAGACAAACACATCCCTTATCAATATCACCATCACTAATGTTGTAGCAAATTATATTTTTACCGAGTACGGGACGACTCCCGACCTCGGGTCGATCTCTCGAGGAAGGCGGTTCGGAATCTAAAATCGGTGTCAATCACACACAAAAGAAAAATAAGTCCTAAACACTCTAATCACGATTGGTTTTGAGAAAAATATCTAAAACAGAACCAAATGACAACCTTGCAACCATATTGCTAAAAAATAGAAAATCCAAACCTTAAGGGTGAGGGAGGCCAGCCCCCAGATCAATGAAAATCTTCATGTGGAACTGTAGAGGGTTGGGTGGGCCCTCTACAGTTTCCCAATTAAAGGAGTATCTTAGACTCCACCACCCAGTTTTGGTGTTTCTCTCAGAAACCAAGAAAAAAGATCATTTTGTTAATACGGTTTGTAGAAAATTAGGAGTAGGTGATAGGTGGACTTCTGTGAAACCTGTTGGTAAAAAGTGGTGGGTTGCTTCTCTTTTGGAACCCTTCAGTTAATATTATTAGCCTTTACAAGCATTTCTTTTGTATTGAAGTAGAATTTTGGGTTTCTCACTTGGCCAGTCCTTCTTGGTGTATTTTCCTCTATGCTAATACTGATTCGAATACCAGACTCCAACAACGGAATTTTCTTACCACTGAGAAGGCTAAATGGGGATTGAATTTATTCTTAGATGGTGATTGTAATGACTAACATGCCAGAAAGAGAGAAAGGGAGGGAGACTGAGATTGCAGTCTTCTTTTCAGCATTTTAATGACTTTATAAGTGGAATGGGTCTGCAAGAATTCCAAATGACAGGTCACCCCTTTACTTGGGGTAACAACAGACCTGATGAAGGTTATGTTGAGGAAAGACTGGACAGAGTCTTTGGATCACTGGTTGTTTCAATCTATTTCCCAATGAAGTGGTGACTAACAACTTTAAAAGCTCTTCAGATCATGGGTTGCTCATTCTCAATCTTCAACCTGAACTCAAGAGACAGCACAAAAGATTCTTTTTTACAAAAGATGGATCCTTAAGCCAGATGTGAAAGAGGTGGTTGAGAATGCTTGGTCTCCAAACCAGCAAGGCACCCCCAATATTTCAACTGCAAAGCAAAACTAATAACACTAGAGTTGAATTATTAAAATGGAGTGCCAACTTCAAATCAGAAAATGCTAAAAAAATAGATAAGCTGCAAAAAAATCCTAGCTATCTGAGAGTTCAAGGAGGTTTAATGGATTGGCAGAAGTGGGATGATACCAAAGATGCACTCAATGAGGCTTATAAGTTGGAAGGGATATTCTGGGAGCAAAAAGCCAGAGCCCATTGGCTCAAGGAAAGGGATAAGAACACAAGTTTCTTTCATGCCAAACTGTTCACAAAAGGAGAAAGAAGACACAATTTCAAGACTGATAGAGGAGAACAACAATATCATCACCTCTCAAAAGGACATTGCTGATTGTATTGAAAAATTCTACTAATCTCTCTTCACTTCTGAAGGTGATTTTGTCTGGTGCTCAGTTTATTCAAGACATAAGTCCTATCATCTCTGAGGAGCTCAACACCAGCTTAATTGCACCAATTACAGAAGGAGACATTCATGAGGCACTTTTCAGCATTGATCCTTCTAAAGCCCCTGGCTTGGATGGTATGACTTGTACCTTCTTTCAATTTTTTTGGAGTATTGTTAGCCCTGATTTATGCACCTCTATTCTCAGTTTTTTTCACTCTGTGCAGATTCTTACTAGCATTAATCATACTCTCATAACACTTATTCCCAAAGTTCAAAAGCCAGAGTTAGTTACTC